TCGACGAGGACCCGGCAGAGGCCGCACTGGCCGCCGCCGTTGCAGTTCATGAGCGTGCCCTGGAAGCTGTAGACGGCCTGCTTGTCGCCGAGGAGCGCGGCCCGCAAATTCGCGCCCTTCTCCGCGACGACCGTCGCCTCGCCCTTGGGCCCGACGACGGTCATCGCGCACGTCGCCGCGTCGTCGTCGGCCGACGACGAGGCCGCGCCGTCGTCGGCCGGCGCCTCGTCGTCGAGGAAGGAGCTCTCCTCCGGCGCGCCGTCGCCCTCGAAGGTGAGCCGCACCGGGCTCGCCGCGTCGCCGATAAGCTCCATGACGTCGTCGAAGCCCAGCGCCGTGACGTCGACGCCGTCGACGCTCTGGAGCTGCAGCGACACGCGCACGTCGGCGTTCTTGCACGCCGAGCCGGAGTCGAGGATGTCGGCGACGTAAAGACCATGGGGGGAGTCGGCAGTGTTCTCCTCGAGGACGAGGCCTAGAGGCTTCTCCAGCGTCACGTCGACGGCTGCGTGGAGCGCGGCGACCTTGAAACGCGGCGCCAATGAAGCGAGGTTGCTGGACGAGCTCGGCGCGACGAATGCATTGGCGACGCCGAAGCAGACGGGTAGGACGAGACGCCAGCACAGCATGAATCGGAGCCACATCACTACCGAAGTGCTGAGTTTTGTTGAATGTACAAGCAGAGGGAAACGTCGGCGTTTTTCAGCAAGGGGTCAAGCATGGCGGAGACTCTGATGATCGAGGGGCTGGTCCGCGCCTTGCGCGAGGGCGACGACGCGGCGAAGGTTTCAGCGGCGCGGGCGCTGCGCAACCTCGCGTGCGGAAACGACGCCGCCAACTGCGTCGCGATCGCCGAGGCCGGCGCCATCCCGCTGCTCGTCGACCTCCTGCGCCACGGGGGCGCGGACGAGAAAGTGGAGGCCGCTGCCGCGCTGCGCACCCTCGCGTGCAACAACGCCGCCAACAAGGTCGCGATCGCCGAGGCCGGCGGCGTCCCGCCGCTCGTCGAGCTCCTGCGCGACGGGAGCGCGGACGCCAAATTCGAGGCCGCGGGCGCGCTGTGCAGCCTCGCGTGCAACAACGTTGCCAACAAGACCCTGATCGGCGAGACCGGCGGCATCCCGCTGCTCGTCGATCTCCTGCGCGACGGGGGCTGGGACGTCAAAGAGCAGGCCGTGTGGACGCTGCGCAACCTCGCGTGCGACAACGACGCCAACGCGGTCGCGATCGCGGCGGCCGTCAGCCTCGAGGCGCTCGTCCAGCTCGCGCGGCGCGGCCGCGTGACCGTCAACAACCGGTTTGTGTCCGATGCGAGCATCGCCGCCAAGCGCAAGGCCGCGCTGGTCGTCGCCGCGCTGCTTCGCGCCTGCGTCCCGGCCGAAGTGCGGAGCCGAGCCGACGTCCAGGACGTCATCCGCGGCGTCATCGGGGCCTATCTCTAGGCTAGTCAGTCTAAGCTCCGTCGATAGCCTCAACGCGGCGCGCTTGCGCGCGCCTGGTCCCGCGCCGCCCTAAAACAGCCCGAGGACGCGGTCCTTCTCGTGGTCGTAGTCGATGTCGACGAAGCCCGGCCGCGTGGGCAGACCCGGCACGGTCATGATGTCGCCGCAGAGCATGTAGAGGAAGCCCGCGCCCGCGGCCGCGCGGACCTCGCGGACGTTGACCGTGTGGCCCTCGGGCACGCCCTTGAGCTTCGCGTCCGTCGACAGCGAGTACTGCGTCTTCGCGATGCACACGGGCAGGCCGCCGAGGCCCTGGCGCTCGTAGGCCGCGAGCTGCGCCTCGGCCTCGTCGCTGTAGGTCACCTCGCCGGCCTTGTAGATGCCCTCGCAGATCTTCGCGACCTTGGTTTTGACCGGGTCCTCGAGGTCGTAGAGGTACGTGAACTCGTCCTTCGCGGACGCGCAGGCCGCGACGACGGCGTCCGCTAGATCGACGGCGCCGTCGCCGCCCTGGGCCCAGTGGTCCGCG